GTTTATTCACCTAAAGCTCTACCCAAACACGCGCTGCGGCCCACAACAGCTGAAGACCAGCAGCAAGCTACGATTAGACCTAGCAAAACTCCGCTGTATTGATTTTCTGTCCGGAGGGTGTCAGAGATCGGTCTACAAAGGGAATTCATTTGTAGGCAAGCGCATTAGTTTCCTGTCAAGCGCTTCTTCTCCTCCTTGTGAAAACTGGGTGGAATATTAAGAGCAGAACTTACTCGAATCTGGGGCTCCTGTTGAGATATTGATCCTAGGAAGTAGAGCCGAGTCCTTCAAGTCGGTCTGAGCTCAGAAAGAGACGTTATGTCTCGAACAGACCCGCCTTTGCAAAGAAGAAGAAGTGCTTTCTCAATCGCAGTGTGTGAGAGCCGGTGCTAGACTTCTGGAGGCATACGGAAGTATTTGTTAGATCCCTAAATACCCCTTAGTGCCTTAATCTGTTCATTCGTTTTGAATTGAAACAGTCAGTAATGCAATAATAATAGGCTATACAAAATTGAATTAAGTCTTACTTTTTTGTCGACTCAATTTTGTCAAAAATGGACAAACTGTTGGGTTAATGGTACCACTATAGTTTAATTAACAATTCCACCATTTACAACTGGTTATTACCTGTCTATTACTAAGATATTAACTGTTTGTTAGCACTTATAAAGTATGATCTTATTGTGTAAATTTTTGGTCGACTAACTTTTTGAGTCAAAAATAAAAAAATCCAATGATTGGGTTAATGTTAACACTTTAGTTTAACTAACAATTACACCATTTACTACGGGGTGTTACCTGTCTACTTATTAAGGTATTAACTGTTTGTTAACACTTATAAAGTATGATCTTACTTTACATCCTGAATCCTACCCAATATCTAAACCCAACTACTGCCATACTAACTATTCTTAAGCAGTTAATTTCACATTTATTGAGCTAAAAGTCTTAGTTAAATGGTTGTTAATGTTTATAGTACAATCTTATAGTCTAATGTTTTTATCGACTCAATTTTTGTGTAAAAAAATTGACAAATCCAATGGTTGGGTTAATGTTAACAGTTTAGTTTAACTAACAATTACACCATTTACTACGGCTTATTACCTGTCTATTATTAAGATATTTACTGTTTGTTAGCACTTATAAAGTATGATCTTATAGTGTAACTTTTGGGTCGACTAACTTTTTGTGTCAAAAATAAACAAATCCAATGATTGGGTTAATGTTAATACTTTAGTTTAACTAACAATTACACCATTTACTACGGTGTCTTACCTGTCTATTATTAAGATATTTACTGTTTGTTAGCACTTATAAAGTATGATCTTATTTTACATTCTAAATCCTACCCAATACCTAAACCCAACTACTGCCTTACTAACTATAGTTAGGCAGGAAATCAGTAATTTTTTGAGCTCAAAGTCTTAGTTAAATGTTTGTTAATATTTAAAGTACAATCTGTCATGACTGTGCATGAACACCAGATGCCACTGTAGTTCGCCTGCAACTCCCTGCAAACTACAATGGCGAAAGAACTACATATCCACACATTCCTTTGTGCTTACACCCGGTCTTTCATATACACTGATTGCAATCACAGCTGTTTCTGTTTCCCCGTTGATTACCTGGACTATATATTAAACCATTCTACCTCTGTTTGTCAGTTCGTCGTTCGTCTTTATTGGTATGTTTGTTCCAGATTCCAGTCTGTATCCTGTTATTCTTGTTAAAGTCTAGTTTGAGTTTTATCTATTTGAGTTCCTAGTTTGTTTGTTTATTTTTTTATTTTGATTTTGGGATTTTTGTCACTGTCACTGCACAATGCATCAATTAAACTGCACTTGGATTCTACACCTGTTTTTGTTCCTGTTTTGATCACCCTAATGTGACACAATCTTATAGTATAATGTTTTCGTCGACTCAATTATTGTGTAAAAAATGGACAAATCCAATGGTTGGGTTAATGTTAACAGTTTAGTTTAAGTAACAATTACACCATTTACTACTGGGTAATTACCTGACTATTATTAAGCAGCAAATTAGTCATTTATTAAGCTAAAAGTAGTAGTTAATGTAGTAGTAGTTAGTAGCGTGAATTGTACATTTAAATAAAGTGTGACCGGGTAAATTATTATTAAATTAAATTTAGGTTCCACTTTATATTGCGAAGTTATGTACGTAGAAAGGGAAGAATGAAAAATGAAAAAGGGTAGTTATAAATGACATGTAGTTATGAATGTCCCGTTACACATTTTTTTTTACTTATACACACTATTCAGTAGGTTGTTACTGTACATGTGAGTTGTAAAACGGGTCTAACACATGTAAAAACTATGTACTGTACTTTACACATGAACACTTTCTATTGTCAAAGTACTTGTTTAAAATGAGCTGAAGGAACAGAACTCTCCACATTTTTGAGGGGACAAATGACTTGTTTTACGTTTAATACACTTAATCATTTTTTTCAATAGTGTAGTTACCAGACATCAAATATGACCACTACAGTAACAAACTAAAGCATTAGCTGAAAATTAGTTTGAAACGTTTAACCCAACAATTGGGTTTATCAATATTTTTACCAAAAAATACAGGTGGAAACTAGCAGCTTTTCAGGTTTTTGAGGTCAGTGTATTGTTGTGTATGTCCATGTTATTAAATAACAGTGAATAAATTGCAGTTTATAGTTGGTTAATCATAATTAATTTGATCAGCAAATCCAATATAAAAGCAGTGTTTTCAGGATTTATGGATGCCAAAAAACTAACCAAAAATCTCTTGCACAGCCCTAGTCAGAAACAAGGGGCTAAAAATTGAGAAAGTAAGCCCATTTCACACTTTGAAGTGCCCTTAACACATTAACACAAGTCTGTAAAAATAGTGTGTTAATAGGAGGGAGGTTTTTCACAGTTTTTTTTTTTTAAACCCGTATTTTTAATTACTTTTCGAGATAAAAAAATACAATTTATAAAGTAGTAAACGTGTTATAATGTAATGAAATTAAGTATTATTGATGCCATTGTTTTCCACAAACTGTATATTGTTACTGATTTTATTTTTTGATTACAGCAAAATGTGACATAGCATTAAACTGAAGTTAGACACAATAAGTAACAAATGTGCCCCATGTATATCAATAAGTAGCAAAACCTCCCATTCGGTGTACTTACTTTTTTACAGCAGTAGCAGAAACTGACATACTAGTCATATTCTTTTCAACTTGCAGTAATGAAGAACTGTAAACATTATTTTGTCATCCTATTTTATTTGATTAAGCTTTATTAAGCATTATTTGATTACTTGCATTTAAGTTTTTATCACATTATATTACAGGCATGTGAAACATCTACAATTTAATTATACAATCCAGGAAAATCTAGACAAGCAAATGAGAACATCCAGAAAAAGATTGCATTTTTATAAAGATGATATGCTATATCATAAAAGTTCAATATACATTGCCAGGCTGTATTTACATGCTTGCTAAAGTATTTGTCTAATTTTTAGCATTTTTAGCCTTCAACCCTTACCTCAACAGTTCTATGTTTGAGTTCTCATTTACATCTGTAGCATAAATTATTGCATTATTATAATGTTTTTTATTGAGAACTTATTGAGAAAAAAATTACAACACAACATTTTCGTTAAAAAATATTGTACAATATTTAACATGAAATGATAAACAAATACAACAAAACTAATTAATTGAATTCTATCATTTTTCTTCAGCTTAGGTTCTTATTAATCAGGGGTCACCACAGTGTAATGAACCGCCAACTATTCCAGCATATGTTTTACATAGCAGATGCCCTTACAGCCACAACACAGTTCTGGGAAACACCCATGCACTCTCTTGTTTACAGACAAACTCATACACTATGGCCAGTTTAGTTTATTCAGTTCACCTATAGCACATGTCTTTGGACTGTGGGGGAAACCAGAGCACCCAGAGGAAACCTACACGAACACGGGGAGAACATGCAAACTCCACACAGAAATGCCAACTGGCCCAGCCAGAACTCGAACCAGCGACCATCTTGCTATGAGGCGACAGTGCCACTGTGCCACCTAGAACATTCATTCATTCATTTTTCTTCAGCTTAGTCCCATTATTTATCAGTGGTCATCACAGCGGAATGAACCGCCAACTTATCCATCATATGCAGGGGATGCCCATCCAGCCACAACCCAGCACTGAGAAATGTCCAGAACATTTTACATTCAAAAATATAACATTTTACGATATTCAACATGAAATAATAAACAAAAACAAAACAAATAATAACAGATAAAAAAACACAGCATTGAGTAATCAATGCATTTCTATAGAAGTTTTTTCTTAACAAAATGAAAATTAAATTTCAAATGCCTGAAAACATTAAATAGTGCATCAAACTCTCAAAACAACTACCCAAATGATGAATCTGATGCCCAAACTATCAAATAACAAATCAACATTCATAGTCTATTTCTAGTCACTCCTTATTTTAGAGGTCGCAACAGTGAAATGAACCGCCAACCATTTCAGCATATGTTTTACTCAGTGGATGCCCTTCTAGGCACAACCCAGTATTAGAAAACACCCATAGTGTGCATTCACACACACACACGCACACACAAACATACACTACGGATAATTTAGTTTATTTAATTCACCTATAGTGCATGTCTGGTGCTCACGGCGACCCGAGTTTGACTCCCGCCTCGAGGTCCTATGCCGATCCTTCCTCTCTCTCTGCTCCCCATACTTTCCTGTAAATAATCTCTATTGTTTTACACATTAAAGGTGAAAAAATTATTTAAAAAAAAATAGAAAACAGACACCACAAAAACAAATCGATCAATGAATCAATTTTGTTAGGAAAAAACTTCCATACATTTTTTCCAATGTTTTAGAAATAAGTCCTTTTTGAATGTCTCAAAATAAATGTGAAATTATTGCGAATAATATAAAAATGTTCAAGCCTACAGTAACCTAATTGAATTGTCTATTTTTACAGGCATGAAACGAATCCATGCACTTACTATTCAAGCCAACTACGAGCTGCGGATTGACCTGGAGGACTTCGAGAACAGCACCTCCTTTGCGCAGTACGGCTCTTTTGGAGTGGGTTTGTTCTCAGTTGACCCAGACGAGGATGGTTACCCACTGAGCATCGCTGACTACTCCGGCACCGCAGGTATGAATCACACTGTTCTGCCTTTGAGCAAGAGATGGCGAGCTCGCCTGCGGTGCGCAGCCAAAAACTATTACATTTATTGCAAAGGCAGAGGTCTCGCGGAAAGCCAGAGGTCAGAGTGTGGCGTTTTTTTAAAGCTCTCTGGTCGTAAGACTTTGCTGCACAACTGCAATTCAGTCGTGGTACCGCATTGATGTCTTGAGCCAAAGTTCATGTCAGGTTTAATGGCGAGCCGCAGGTAAACGCTGGTAAAAGCTCTTGGGCTGATATGTAGTTTCGTCCAGACAGACTTTGGACAGATTACTCTGACCAAAACGCCCACTTTAGAGCATAAGAGACAATCCAGCTGACACCTAAAGTGTCTAGTTTTATTAGAAAAGAATGAAAAAAAGCTTAATAAAATGTGTTGGTTAAAGATGTAAGGGTCCTATTTTGGTGGCTACTTTAAGTTTACAAAAGGGATTTTCTATTTATATGTACAAGACAATAGCTGCATGCCAAATGGCACACTATGCACAATGCACTATGTACTTATGCACTGTTACGTAGCAGATGCACCTCGCTACGCACAGAAGGTTAAGAATGACCGCTGTTAAAAGAGGTTACCTGGAGTCCCCGTCTTTGTTTCCCAAGCACTCACACACACAGGCCAAGTTTTCAAAAGGAATAACAGATTTATTAAACAAATATTTCGGTGTCAGAATCAGGGAACAAAAAGGCCAAAACAAGGTAAGCTGCCAAATATTAAACTTCTTACCTAAACCGAAAATAAAGTTCCGTAAATAAAACATACAATTCTACCCTCCATAACTATCGATTAAACATGAGAAAACGGGACAAAAGAAAAAGGGCCTTCCCTTTGATCATTCAGCAGTAAGTAAAAATTTAGCCGCAGCTAACACAGCATACCTTCCTAGTACCGTATTTAACAGAGTATCTCACCAGATGACTTTGAAACAGAGTTGTAGAAAGTAATTAAACCATCAGCCACCGCTAATCCAGGTTACCGTCCTATTACCGTAATAAACAGAGTATCTCAAAGGATTACTTTGGAAAAAGGTTTCAGACAGAAAGAGATCACTGCCACACAGAGAACTCAGAGCGATCTGCTCACACACACACACACACACACACACAACAGCGAGGGGAAACAGGAAGAGAACTCGACGAGCAGCGTCAACAGCATGCTTTTATAACTGGCACCACCCCTCTCAAAGCTGCACCTGATCTCCGCTCATGTGGAGAGAGAGAAAGAGACAGATAATAGAGGATACAACACACACAGGAACAATACACACTAGCATTGTCAAAATAATGTTACTCAATATATAACATGCACTTACACACTCAACAGCATAGTACATGAATGTAGTGTCGTCCCAAATAGAACACTAATGTTTTTTTTGTACTAAGCGGAAATTTAAACTGTTTCCCTAATGATGTTTGACGGTTGCCAAATTAGTGAAATAAGTGACCAAACTACCAAATAACAGCTGCCATGAGTATAACCGCATTCACCATCAGACCATCAAACAAAACTATACATTTGTTACATGGATATTTAAATGTATGTATAAATTGCCTTATATACGGATAGAATTTATATCTAAATATAAATAAACATCAATTATAGTCAATTAGTTTGTTAGATAGCGAACTTTAAGTGTTAAAAGCAAGTATATGTTATGCACAGAGAGGAAATCCGAAACTTACTGGCCTGAGTTGCACCCCAGCAAAAACAAAAAGCTCAGCCTAGAATAGAAACTATCATGAGAATCACAAGACTAATTTAAAGTTTCCTGGCCTGTTGTCAGCGGTGTTCAGATATATTCCTGCAGCACGCAAAGCAACGGGGGCTGCAGGTTATCTTGAGCGCCGAGGCGAAGTGATGAGCAATTCTCAATGCTTCACCTGCGCTGTCGCCGGGGCCTCTTTTTAACGTTAATTGGGTCCCGCTCTCCATTATTCTCAGGTGTTTTTCCCTGAGCGCTGCCCTCCTCGCTGGGGCCGGACGCGGGCCTGACCTTCGCTGTATGCCGGAAAGGGCAGGGATAATGAAGCCGTACAGTACATCTATGGCATTCCAATAAAGCAGGCACCCGGCTTATTACGGGAGACGTAAACAAACAGTCCTATTAACATAAATCAAGAGGAGAATACAGCATCCACGCGTCTAATTAGCCAGGCTGTCTTAAACATCCCGCTGGAGGAGTCATGCCACATTGATTCCCAATCTTATCAATTACGTCTTGTTTGGACTCTTAAGCCGCTTTCTCCATTAAAATGCATGCATGGTTGTTTAATGCATTAACGTGTACATGAATGGTAGCTTGGACTGACCATAAGCATTAAATCGCATTGTGATTTTCATCTGATCTTTGCTTGCTCAAGTGTGAAACTTAGGCTCAATCCCAATTCTTTTTTGTACCTCTTCCCCTTTTCCTCAGCCCCTAAAACCGAGTGTGAAGGGGAAGGGTTTTAAAATTTACCTCTAAGAAATGGGACAGCACTACAACACCTGCACATGTCATCATATGTTGTCGCGATCTCATGCTTCATATGACGTCAGATGATCGCGACTGCTGGAGTTTTTCCAGTTGTGTTATTTTTTGGTATTTATCTACAAGAAATCACTGAAGGCAACGATTTCATGTTATCATGACGATCTCTCGTGGCAATATGATCGTAACTGTACTGCGCATTTACTCCGTGGCCATATTCATCTATGTAAACACACCAAAAGCAACATTAACATTATAGCAGACACTGTAAAAACCTCATTTCCAGCCACTAGACATTTCTGACAGGGTATTCCAGTGTCGTTGAGTGTCAGAATGTTGTGGGACTACTAAACAGGAGTTCAAGAGTTCACATTTAGATATGCTTAGCATTTATAGCAGGTTTGGCATGCTGTCCCGGGAGATAACCCTGAGCTCGGAGATATTTGAGTCAATAAGCATATCAGAGGATCCGAGATCAGGAAGGTCTCGATAGTTCCCCCTTTTGAAAGGGGAGAAAAAGGAGGAGATGGGGTGGAAGGGGGGATTCTTCTGAAATGAAGATAGGGAAAAAGGTTAGAAAGTGATCCATTTATAGTAGGCTAGGATCCCTCGGATTGGATTATTACTGATTCCAAAAGAGTGGCCAGCTGGGCTCAATCATATCACGTTCTCCTCTCGAAATTAGTTTATGAAACTTCACTTATTATTAGGGATTATAGATAGCAAAATTTAGCGTTTTTATTGTAGTAGTATTTTTAAAAGCATGACAGTAAAAAATGAGCGCGGTTATAAATATATTAAAACATGTGCTTGTTTGTTGTAAAAATTTGCAATAATGACAAAAAATCATTCTGAAAATGCATCTCCTTACTTCCGGATGCAGCTATGCTGCCCTTGTGGCTTGTGTATTCTGGAAATTTTTCTTACCCCTTGGTTTTGAGTGTGGTCTTGAAAAATCTCTATTTGAAGGGGTATCTAGCACTTCCTCTTAGCCCTACACCTTCAAGCTAAAGAGATTTGGGACACCCTTAAAGTGCAAAACGAGGGGTAGGGGTAAGGGAAAGGGCTAAGGGGTAGAATTGGGATTAGGCCTTAGTAAGTGTGAAACTTAAATGGGTAACCATTGACTTCTATAGTAGTTTTTTACACTACTACTAGTGGAGAGGAATATTAGTTGTAAGATGTTAACGATACATTGATTGAAATAAAAAAAAAATACCAAAAAGGTTGGTTCACGATCAATATCAATGAGAATCAATATTGTATTGACACTAGTAATTCATAATCTCACTTACACAGATTATTCTTGTCGCAAACATACACTTTTAAAAGCATTAACATAAATTATTGGTAGGTCGGACTTACTGTAAGCATTACATCAGATATTTGAATCATATTATTTTGGTAGTGAAAAGGAAATCAGGGTGGAAATCGGTATCGCAGTGAGTAGCATGTTCGCCTCACAGCAAGAAGGTTGCTGGTTCGAGCCTTGGCTGGGTCAGTGGCGTTTCTGTGTGAAGTTTGCATGTTCTGTTGGCGTGGGTTTTCTCCACAGTCCAAAAACATGTGGCACAGGTGAAGTGGGTAAACTAAGTCCATAGTGTATGTGTGTGAATGAGTGCGGATGGATGGTTCCCAGTGATAGGTTGCAGCTGGAAGGGCATCCGCTGCGTAAAACATATGCTGGATAAGTTGGCGGATCATTCCGCTGTGGCGACCCCAGAAAAATAAAGAGACTAAGCCAAAAAGAAAATGAATGAATGAATGAATGGAAAGGAAGTCAAACAGATGTTTTAATGCAGTTGGAATAGAGACAAAAAAAAGGTTACTTCTAAAACTTTGCTTTATTTAATGTGACTTGTTTGTATTTCTTTTTATTGCTTTTTGTTGTAGTTTGTTATATACTGTATTAATTAATTTGATGATTTAAAGGGAAAGCACGAACAAAAATAGCAATGAAAATTCTGACCTGAACACAAAAGATTATATTTTGAAAAACACTGGAAAGCGGTAACCATTGACTTTTGTAGTATTTTTTTTTACAGAGGAAATTTTGTGGAGAAGTTTTTTTGGATCTAGTTTGTTATATATTGATTAATTTGATTATCTAAAAGGATAGCGCACCCAAAAATGAAAATTCTAGTGTCAATTTCCTCAATCGGGACCTCCAAACTATGTTTTTTTGAACACAAAAGAAGATATTTTGAAAAATGCTGGAAACCGGTAACCATTCCATAGTATTGAATTTATCTACTATGGATGACATCTATTAATTATAATATCCACGTAAGTCAGATATATTAAATTAAACTAAAATAAATACAAAAAAGTTTGATTCACAATCTGTAAAGATGAGAATCAATATTGTATCAACATTAATAATTCCTAATCTCATCTAGACAAATTGTTCTGGTCAAAAACACACCCTTTTTAAAAAGCATTAACATGTACATTAATGGTAGGTTAGACTGACTGTAAGCATTAAATCAGATTTCTGAT